CTCTTCATGGTTCACTTCTTGAGTTCTCACCTTCTTCTGGAGTCTTTCAACTTCAACAACATTTGGCACCTCAACTTGTGCCTCGACTTCTTGTTCAGAATCTTCCACTTTGACCACTTGTTCATTCTCTACTTGAAGTAGTTTCCCACTTCAAGTTGTGATTTCCATACAACGAGAAGTTAGACCACTCCCACTACTTTTAGTGTTTACAATTGTATCACTTGGAAGCGTGCCTTTTTGCTTCGAATTTTGATCTCTTGAGAGATACCTCATTTGCATCTCCAACTTTTGAATAGATGCGGTGTGAGAACCCACGAGCTCGGTCATATTCTTCATTGAAGTGTCATATCTCTCTTGATTTTGCAATACTCTTTCAAGCATCTTTTCCAACTTGGACTAACTTGAAGAACTTTTCTTTAAATGTGGAGAGTTAGAATATTGCCCCTTTGGTGGAACATATGGGTTTGAACTCCGATTTGAAAAGTTATTGTTATTACTCAAATTTCCTTGATTTTAACTACATTGGTCGTTTCGCCATTGTTGGTTGCCTTGCCCTTGCGGGTTAGACCTCCATTGGTGGTGGTGTCCTGAACCTTGGTAGGGTTGTCTTTGATATCCTCCTTGAGGATTGTTGATATAATTGTCTTCTTTGTATTCCTCATTTGACATGGGTTGCACATCTTCCATAACATTTACCTTTTTTGTTTGGCTTTCAGTGAACATTTTCGTCAACACGTTGACATTGTTGGCAAGCCTCGCAATTACTTGATCTTTTTCTTGGTTTTCCTTAATCATGTTAGTCAAGGAAGGAGTACCATATGCAATTCCACACGTGGTGTCTTCTGAGTGCCAAGCTTGGTCATGTTCTGTCATCTTGTCGAGGATTTGTGTGACCCTTGCAAATGCTTTATCCATAAAGGATCCATTCGCTGCATTTTTGGCTATGGATTGATACATAGGATCCAAGCCCATGTAAAACTTCTCCAACAAAATATTATCTGGAAAGCCATGATTCGGCGACCTCACCAAATATAGCTTGAATCTATCCCATGCCTCATGTAGATCCTCTCTCGGTAATTGCTTGAAGAAGAAAATTTTATCCAGAAGCTCGGACTTCTTGCTTTGCGGAAACCATTTTGCTAGGAAAGCTCGGACAAGCTCGGGCCAAGTATAAATGAAATTAAAAGGTAGATTTTGGATCCACTGTCTTGTTTCTCCAGTTAGAGAACCCTCAACCTTAGGGAATTATCTGAGACATGATTCTGCTTGTGCATTGCACACATACCCAAAAAATTTCTGAGATATTGTGTCGGATCATCGTCGATGGAATTTCGGAAGAACTCCTATGCATTTAGCATAAGGATTAGACTGTGTTCCACTTTGAAGGTAGCAACGTCAACTCCTGGAGGGACAATGGCACTTGTATCCTCAATATACTCATCTATATCCGCAAACACATTCTCTTCTTCCGGCTCTCCCATGTTTATCTAATGGCACCAAGCAAAGCAAGCAAAGTGTGATGGAATAGAAGAAGACCCAAAGTAAAGCACACACTAGTTAGTAATTTTAAAACCGTATTCCCCGGTAACGGCGCCAAAATTTGATACGCTCAAATTACACCTATATAAATGGTGTAAGACGGTCGGTATCAAATATAATAACCCAACTAGGTTGGAGAAAATCCCATAGGGAATAGGTGTGAAAAGGTTACTTGAATAGTGTGAAACTTGGCTTAAGCCGTAGTTCTACTCCGTTAGTTTAAAAAGAGTTTTGTAATTGTGAATTATCAAGAAAAGCTATTTGTTTAAGAGAATTTGATTAATTTAATTAAGAAATCAAGGTTGTGTCCCCATCAATAGAATTTAATGCTATCGGTGTTAATATAATATATTTCTAATGAAAGGTCCTTTGATATGCAAATAGTTCCTAAATAACTACCAAATATTTTTCAATAACTAGGTAGTATTTCCTCTTTATGATTTTCTCAAATATAAAAGAGTTACAATTAATAGCAACTAATTTATGCCAAGTAGAACATACTTATCCCTAAGTGATTCTATTAAATAGGGTTTAAAGCCTTGAGTTCTTGCTATTCAATTCTACCAAACTCTACCCCACTTTTTCAAGTAAAGATAGAGTAAAATGACACTAGTCAGTGTTTGCANATATATATATTAAATGGTAAACACCAATTAACATTACACCCACTTAGGGTCCACAACCTTAGTATTTAAAATTAACTACTCATACTAGAATACAAGAACAAAATAATAAATAAAGTCATAAAGATTACAAAGAGAATAAAGTCTTTAATTCTCTCTCAAAAGCTTCCAAAATAATGGTATATTCAATGCTCTAAGTGTAGCCTCTTTTTCAGACAAGATGGTCTACAAAAACTGTAATCATTCTCTTTATAATGATTTAAAAGTCGTGGTAAAAAAAGTGACAAAAATGACCATGCAAATCATGTCTGCGACCGCAGAATGGGTCGTAGAACGCTTTCACGGTCCGCACATCTTCATTTTTCACTGCAAAATTGCTCACAAAGTTTTCGAGTTTTTTATCGCATTATGGTTATGCGGTCCACATATTGGTTTCGTGACCGCATAACGTACCGCAAAGTCATCTTCACTGGAACTCCTTTTGCATTTGTGCGATCACTATGCGGTTCACATAAGAATTATGCGACCGCACGATGGATCGCAGACTTGACTCTCAAAAACTAGGATGTTCTACTTCATTCTGCGATGGGTCCGCGGTCCGCACATCACTTTTGTGGTCGCAGACCCGCCGCATTTCTACCTTTCCATGGGTCTTTGTCATATTTTTTATGTTCTTGGCTCTTCAAGTTTGGTTTCCTGCAAAACACCCAAACTACATAAGAAATGACTTATAATACTTTAAAAGATGAGCTAAATTCTATGTAAGAATCAAAATTGCCGCATTTCTACGGCACATCACCTAGCAAACTATTTGACAATACGGATAACATATCTAATAAGTTCTTCGATATGGTGGTGCCTTTGGATAATCAATTGGTGTTGCAACAAGCTAGAGGATGCGCTTTGTGCCAATGAGAATTTAATGACGTATGCTATAAAGACCAGAGCCTATGCAACAAAGCACTTTTTCTTTTATGTTCAAGCAAATATTTTTGTGTATGATTTCTTTAGTTTTTAGTCGAGGTATATAACTTTCTTGCCATCTCGAAAGTACGGATCATCATAAGACATCAAGAACTTATACTTCTTTCTTAAATTTTTATCACTAAAAAATAATTTTTAAAATAATATTGATACAATATTTTAAAAAATTTATATTCATTATATGGATACACGCCCAATTTGCTTACCTAATCGCTTTAAACACATTGCATATATAAATTGAATGTGCAACTACTCATTTATCTCGTGATTACAAGTGCACATCTTTTCATGTGTCTTATGATGCTTTTTGTTACGTTTAGTCACTCTCGTTACTTTTCTTACGCACATATACATATATGTCATCGTGTGTCAGAAACATATCAAACACTTCGCATTTTGCATATATATGCATTTTCATAATTCTAATTATGCTAATGTATGAAATAAGGTAGCCATTACTAGACAATTCTTTTCATACCCAAAAAAATAAAAACTTACGAGGGCGTTTTGAAGACATATTTGTTTATGCAATGATCTCTCCAATTGGTTCTTGCAATATCTCAAGTCTCAAAAACTAGTTAGGAGTGAATTCATGTCTTTCGTCATGAACTCAGAATCACCACAATTTATTTGATAAAATTAGTTTAATCAAAACATCATCCGTGATAGAGGTGGAGTCAGAATTTACAGCTTATGGGCTCAGGCCAGTCTATTTAAATTAATTATTGGGTTCTAAGTTAATAGTTTTTCCATATACAATAAATTTATTAAGATAAATATTGAGTTTGGACCAAAATTTACTGAGTTCGACCAAACCCATATTACGCATTCTAGCTCTGCCCGGCCGGTGAATAACAAATCAAATAAATAAAGCAAGATAAAATACCTCGGTACACGTGTTTTTAAACAAAAGAGTTGTAATTTATGGATGAAAAATATTCTAGCGACAATTAATCAATATATATAACTTAAATTCTTAAAATTATATAACATAAATTTCAACAATGCACTTCAAAATATAGAATGTTTGGCCTTCAAAAAATTTGTAAAGATAAAAGAAATATTAATTAACATCCATCCAACCAAACTTTTGATTGCAAGTTGCTTCCTCAATAATAATCCGTTTGCATGTGTAAACATACATTGAGAGTGTTACGTTACCGAGTAGCATCAGAATTAAGGCTTTCTTTAAGATACGATGAAATAATAGGAAATTTAGTGTTAATTTTGGATATTTGTAATTATATCAATTGTACATGAAATTACATGAAATAGTAAAAATATTAATTATAATCCACGTCGTATTTCCCTTAATTAAAACATATAATTCTTGTCAAGTACTATGTACAATTCACAAAAAATTTCATAAGCTACGTAGCTCAAATCTGCCAGGAGAAGAAACTCCATAATTTGATCTTCTCTAATTACGACTAATAATTATGATCTTATCTAGTTTTACCTTGACTACTGACTAGTGTTAATTTTGGATATCAATAATTATATCAAATGTAAATGAAATTACCTGAAATAGTAAAAATATTTATCAGAATCGCGCATATTTCTCTTAATTAGTAAAACATATAATTCTCGTCAATTCATATATATTACCTAAGATTAATTCCTTTTTTTTTTTGGTACATTGAAAAAGATATGTACAATTCACAAAATTTTCATAAGCTACATGTATAGCTCAGATTTGCCATGAGAAAAAACTCCATAATTGCAATCTTCTCTAATTACAACTAATAATTGTAATCTTATCTAATTTTACCTTGACCACTGAATTCTCCTATAAATAAGACCTACACTAGTTAGTATAAATCACTCTTCTATCAATTTCTTCATAAAAGAAAAATGGCTTTGAAATTCACCTCCTTTCCCTTTACAATATTCATAATTCTAGTAATTGCTTCTACTTTCTTCCATATTTCCTCAGCAAAAGGTGGATTGAAACGTGAATTCTTTATTGGTCTGACAATAAAGGATCCTAAAGTGGTGGAAATTGCAAATTTTGCTATAAACGAGTTCAACAAAAAAGCAGGACATAACTATATACTTAAACAAGTGGATGGAGTAGAAACTGTTACTTTTACTAGTGGTACGAATTATGAGTTATTTATCACTGTTAATGAATGGGATACAATCTCTGGCGGCCATGTTGCGGTTGTTTTCGTTGGTTCCAACAATTTCAAGAAACTTATTTCCTTTGATGGAAAGTTCTCTTCTATTAAAAATTAAGTGTATGAATCCTCCAGAATTACACGAAAAGTATATATATGAAATGAAATAAACCATTCGAATTAAACATGGTTTTGTCTATCATATATATGTTTTGTCTCGCATTATTATTGATATGTTTGGTTGTACTATTAAACATGGTTGAAAATTTCACTTTTTAGATGATCACAAAAATTATGCAAAATTTACGTCTCAACTATATAATGATGGCTCCTTGACCGGACCTATTGATCCAGGAGCTCGAAAATGGAGCAAAAAATAAGATGAGTTAGAGAACAGATGTTAGTCAATTTTGATCCTGCTAGGGAAAAGAAGCAGACTCTTACTCGACGTAGGATAGAGTAACTATTTTTAAAGTCTAGCCTTTTTTTCCAAGACAAGCATTCTAACCAAATAACTATAGATCTTGTGCGTATTACAAAGGCATCTGTTTATTTATTTCTTTATACACCAAATGTCCTAGTCGTCATATTTTGAGAATTATGAAATGTTTATTTTCTTGCTAATCCACCCTTTTTCTTTGAAAAAAAAAAAAGACTAACTAGACATTTCCTATGTACTAAACATCCATTCAAGAGTGTGTTTGGTATAACATTTTTAAAAATATTTTTAAATTTCTAATGTTTGGTTGCCTAAAAATGCTTGAAAAAAATACTACAACAACAACAACAAACTTAGTGTAATTCACAAGTGGGATATGGGGAGAGTAATGTGTATGCAAATTTTACCCCTACCTTGTAAAAGTAGAGAGATTGTTTTCGATATACCTTCGACTTTAAAAAAATGCTTGAAAAAATACTTTTTCTAAAATAATATGTTCCTTAGAAAGTTGGACACATTACCGTGCTAATATAAAAGCACCAAAATCCTTGCTAACTTACTGGCAGTGTGCAATCCTGACGTTACTGGTTTGTATGTTTCGTAGTGATCTTTTTGCTTTGCGAATCACTTGCTGCTAATTTCCTTCATTGTCCCCGGCTTTGATATGAAGCTACATACGCCCCGGCTTTAATATGAAACTAACTTTATAAAATATAATAAATCTTATTATTCTTGAGTGGGAAGTCTATTTTACAAACTACTAGTAAATTTTAGTACTTGTAAAAGAAATATCTACGTCTAAATACCCAAAAGTGTACTAATTCAGAATCTCTCCTCAGTCACCTTTTACCCTCAAGTATATTTTCATTAAAAAAAAAATCTCTATATTGTATACGGTCGAAATAGATTTCGGTTTTCGTACGATCGGTCGAGGTCAAAACGTAATAGATCGGAGTAAGACTTCAAAATGGGTTCCGAAAATAGTATAAACAACCTTCGAGCCCGATGGACCGATCAATGTCGAGCTCGAATACAAATCGAGTTATGATTCAAAGTAAAGTTATCGAGCTTATGATTCAGAAGACCGACCAATCCTGACCCCGAACCAATGTAAGGATCCGAGTCAGAATCGAGCTCAAGTCAAGATCGAGAGCTCGAGTCGAGACCGAAAACTCGAGTCAATATCGAGCTTACAGACAAGAGCCGTTGCAATTCCACTAGAGGAGAGAATCCTGAGAGGAATTATGAAAAAGTTGATTTATCATGGGTCTCCCACTAAGTATTTTTAATTATATCTAAAGTAAGGTTCATCTACTATAAAGGGATGGTTATTATTTCTGTAAGGCAAGTTTTTGTTTACATTGTAATTCAAGCACCATATTCTCATATAGAGAAGAGTTGTTCTTCTAAGCTTCATAAATTGGTTCAACCCGTTCATTTCTAAAAATCATCTACTTTACAACCGTGTTTACTTTGTACTCTTTGCAATCCATATTTGATATTTCTATTTATCCTTACGGTTTGTATTAAGCTATACCACATATCCTTAAAACTACGTACAAATTTAACTTTATCCGTTTTTCGGGTAAAACATATACCAAACCCATTATTTCTTGTAATCGGAGCAGATAAACGGTAAGAAAGTCATATATGAAGCTACAAATAGAGTACTATTACTTTCAAACGTGCACGCAGAGGAAAAAAACTTTGCATAATAATTTTGATATTATTATAATCTGACACGACGACTATATAGTTTATTTATCGCAATTTGATTAGGGGTCTTTTCGGTATTCCATAAAAGAAAATAAAAAGAACTCCGACTGTATATAGTTTCTCACTCCCTCCTCCTAACTTCAATTCCCTTCATCTTCCTCGTGCTATCGCCGAAGGGTTAACACTGTTCCTCACCAGTAATTCCAATTCATGCTTCTCAATTCTCTCTTCTTTATTACAGATCCATAGTTCAATTTCTCCCTCTTTGCGCTGTTGTGTTCACAGCTCTCGAAACACATCAGCTCCAATGACGGCAGAAACAAAGCGTGAATTTGACATTTTTTCATCGGCGGCCGAACCGCTGTCTCAATCTCGGGTCTCGGAACCCGGTGATCCGAACCGCGATAGGCCGGATGAATGCAAACCGGAATTGACCGGTTCGGTTTCCGGCGTTCGGTTCGAGAAAGCTCAGGTTAGGACTAGTGATAGTAATGGTATTGTTGTGTACAGGAGGAACAAGAGGCAGAAGACGGCAGATTCAACAAACGGCAATTCAAGTGGCAAAGTCGTAAATATGGATGAAGCCGAGGGTAATTCAGGAATTCATGCGTTAGACAGTGACGTCATGGAAGTTGAAGTCAAGGAAGAGTCAAGGATTAGGCGGTTCACACGGTCAGCTTTGGAACTGAAGAAGATGGGGAAAATTCCAAATGGAAAATCTGAAGGTGAAGTTGAGGAGAGAAGTTGTGGTGTAAACACGTCCGGGAAGAAACTAGAAATGAAAATGTCGAAGAAGATTTCGATAACGGGAAGGCCTACAACGGTTAGGGAGCTATTCGAGACTGGTTTGCTGGAAGGATATCCTGTTTTTTACAATGGTGGGAAGAAGGTATCATTCTCTCACAATGTCGTCCACATTCCCCTGTTCCCTTAATATTAGGTTCTTGTTACGGTGCAAATATATTTAAAAACCGGTTTACTTGTTAGGTAATAATAAATAATTATATGTAATCTCCTGATGTGCATTAACTAGTGATCTAGGCAAAATGGTACGTAACCTGCTCAGATTAAAATTCATTAATAGTGTAAAAAATCTTGACACTATATATAACCTAAAATCTCTTAAATTAACCCGGGGCAAGATATTGGAGAATAGCATTAGAGGCAGTTATCTCTTTTTATGTAGATAAAGTTGCCCTCAATTATACTATACTTATTAGTTAAAAAAAAAAGAGTTACCTGTCGATTATGAAAAATAATCCAATCAGTTCGAAATGTTAAAGCAGAATAAAAGGGGGTACGATCTCAATATGTATGTCTAGAAAAAAATTGCGTTAATCATTATGGTCTTACAGAAAGACAGACGTAGAGCTGTGCATAATTTGGTAAATACCGAATTACCATACCGAAATCGAAAATTTTGGTATTTGGTATTCTATAATTTGGTATTCGGTATGGTATTTGGTTTAAGTTTTAAAAAATATTGGTATTAGGTATGTTATTTGGTATTTTAAAATGAAATACCGAAATACCGATACCGTACCGAAATATATATTATATTACACAATAAGCATATTATTAATTATAACATAAATATAAAAATCTAAAATTTTAACTTTCCTTTATTCTCTAAGTTTATCAATTAACTCTAAGCAAGTAACAAAACATTTTTAATGATCAAATTTATTCTTTTATGTACAGTTTTCTCTCTCTGGGTTGATATTTGCTAGTTTTGGACAAAACTTTTGTTGCAAATGTTTTTAGTTTTGTACTTTTGAGTACTTTAATTTAGAATATTACAGGCTATGACTGTATGCACTAGTTAGTATTCAAGCCGAATAAACCGAAGTTACCAAACCAAATAAACCGAAACCGAAAGGATAAAAACCGAACCATACCGAATTTAATTAGGTACGGTATTGGTATTGCATTTTAAGAAACCGAATACCGAAAATACCGAACCGAAATGTCTAAATACCGTACCGTATCGACCGACGAACACCCCTAGAAAGACGAGTACTTAAATATCCTAACACCACAAAAGCCTAGGGGTAGGTAAGTTTGACTAAAGTTACTAGAAATGCGTTTGGATACCCTTCTTTTTTTGATTGGGTTTGACTTCAACTTTCCCAGAGCCCACCGTGCTCAAAGGGGGAGACTGGGTGTATGCATAAATTTCTACTAGCAACATTCATGCTAAATTTTTAAAACCATTATTTTTTTAACGACAGTAGGGCTAAAACTATATCGTGTAAATTGCTGTTGATCCGCTTCCAGCTTCTTTTCCTTAAATGTGCTTATGACTTGTGTCCATTTCTTGCTGCAAGACCTTTTAATGCTTTGATGAATTCAGTGGTTTTGTCTTTATCTTATGATAAATATTGTCTTAATTTTAGGGAATTCCACTCCGAGGAACAATTAAAGATACCGGAATTCTTTGTTCCTGTGATCTGTGCAATGGAACTAGAGTGAGTATTGAAGTTTTTCTATTTCTCTTGCTTCCCTTTTATCACACTTTAGTTGTCATTATAAACAGTTGTCTTAACTGAGTGCATACTCTACATTCTGTATCACTTTTGTAATGTTAGGTTGTCCCTCCTAGCAAATTTGAGATCCATGCATGTAATTCATACAGACGTGCATCAGAGTATATTTGTCTGGAAAATGGCAAGAGCCTACTCGACGTGGTCAAAGAGTGTAAGAAAGGTTCCTTGAAGACATTAGAAGAAACAATTCAGAGTGTCATTGGTCCAGTTCCTGTGAAGAAAAATCTCATTTGTCGGAATTGCAAGGGTGAGCTTGCTCATGTGAACTTGAATACAGTTACATGTTTCTTTACAAGTGTAATTAGAAGATATGTGGTTACTGTTGTGGCTAGGGTCTTTTGTTGCAACACTAGCTGGAAAAGATGAACCACTTTGTGATTCATGCATAATTTCTCTAAGATCAGAAGCCACTCCAAC